GAGAGAGAGAGAGAGAGAGAGAGAGAGAGAGAGAGAGAGAGAGAGAGAGACGAGAGAGAGAGAGAGAGAGAAAGCGAGAGAGAGACGGACAGAGACAGAGAGAGAGTCTCGGAGGAAGGCGCGACCCCAGCAGACCCTCCCGCCCTCGGCCGTCCTCACACACGCACCTGCACGGGCTTGATGTTGGCGAGCTGTGGCTTGACGGCGCCACCTATCCAGCGATAGACCTCGACGGTGAGCTGCTTCGTCTGCTCCCGCACGTCCTTGTCTCGGTCCTCCAGCAGCGACGGAATCAGCTTCACGACTGGCTTCAACTGGAATGTCTTGCTGCCAAAGCCCCTGCAAGAACGTGAGAGAGAGAGAGTGGTCGGTCAGCAGAAGTGGGGAAATACGAGAGGAGCTTGTGAAAGGTGGCGATAAGAGAGAACGAAAAGAGAGCGGTCAGCAGAAGCAGAGAAATAGTTAGCAGAAGCAAGATGCAGGAGAGATTCGGGACGAGGTAGCGCGATGGAAAAAGTAAAGCAAAGAGAAAGGGGTTTGGAGACAGAGCAACGTGCAAAGAGAAGCATGAGTCGAGATGACTGAGCGTGAAGGAAAAAGTAAAGCAACGCGAAAGGGTCTTGTAGACATAGCGACATGTGAGTGTGGTTAGCAGAGGCAGGGATGCATGAGAGAGTGGTGACGAGTGAGCGTGAAGGAAAAAATGAAAAGCAACGGTAGACAGTTTGAAAACGTAGCGACGTGCGAAGAGAAGCATAAGGCCAAAACAAAATATAGGTGTGGTTACGGTTTCCCGACCGACCCTATTTATTCCCAGCGACCCTAAACATTTTATTTGAAATTTTTTTTAAAGTAAAAAAAATAAAAAAAGGGAAAAAAATGAATTGGACAGTTCCTGCTTCAAAAGGCACAACGCACATCCTTCGGACATGGTTCGTAAATAAAATATTTCAAGAAAATAAAATGTTTTCCCTACCTACCTACCCTATTTTTTTCGGCATGTAACGGTAACCACACATATATTTTGTTTTTGCCTAAGACATAAGAGAGTGCAGACGAGTGAGCAGTGGGAGAGGGTTTTAGAGACGTAGGGACGTGTGAGTGCGGTTAACAGAAGCACAAGAGAGGTCAGTGGACGGTGGAGACGAGAGACACGCAAGTAAAGCAGCAGAAGAGGGTTTTGTAGATGTAGCATGGTTTGCAGAGGTAGGGACGCATGACAGCTTAGCAGAGCTTGAGATGATCGAGTACGATATCTCAATATTTGTTTACCTCCTAAATTAAACATGGAATCCCCCTCACTGCAAACTGTTTGTTCGCTCCATCCTACTACTAATATCCACACTAATAAGGGCAAGAGTTGTTGCAAATTCTCAAAGGCACTGCCGACGATCCAATATCGGAAATGTACGTTTTTTATGCAACGCCTTCGCTTGTTCGACGTTTCTTGCTGCACAAAGGCACTACCGCGCCTGCCACAACACATGTTGGCAGCAATCAGGAAGGCAGACTAGAACGTGTTCGTGCCACCAGCTTCGGCAGATTGAGGTTTGAGCAGCAAAAATGAAGCCGACAGTTGATGGTGATGTCTACCCAAATCGCCCACACCTTCGTACCTTACAGCCATCTTGATTGTCTCTAAACAAGCGGTGACGATCTTTGGTTGCTTGTTGGCGAGGCCTTTTATTAGCTCTTCCTGCGCAAGATAAATACAGACGTGTGACACAGCGTAGGTGAGAGCCAATTACGTACACAAGCATACACACACAGAGCCTAGCATCACATCATAGCATTACGTGCCAAATAAGATGTGGGTGCTTGTGATTGTTAATTCACATCCTACATGATTAATATAATGCTTACGTGGCATCATGAATATAGTGATAATGTAATATAGTCGAATTTAGTTCTTTCAATTTGTGAAGAGGAAGCCATGCAGGGAGCTGTTATTTTATATCATAAACATATTTCATGGTGGAAGTATATATCAACAACTAAGAACTCATTGTATTCACAGCAGTACAGTGAACCATGGACAAGTTGCTTCACCCTCCATCAAACGCCAGCTCTCACATTCACGACATTAACTACTTTTTCCCCCGAAAAATCTTAATGTCTCTCTTTTCACACTTTATATATAACGTATATATATATATGCAGGTGAGGCGTACCATGACCAGCTCGTGTTTTTCGAGCTCTATGTAGATCATGATGACCTCCTGTCCCTTCTCCTTCGTCCGCGCTCGTGCGTTCAGACATTTGGCGACGATTCCGGAGATAACTTCCCCAACCGTTCTGAAAGTTCAAAAGTAATATGAGCGCTTCGCTCATGAAATCGGGGATTCTGACTGTAACCGCTCTGGGAATTACCAGTAAATCGGCTTGCTAAAACCGGTAAACCAGTACGCTGTACCAGATCCCTCACGTGGCTGTATCAGATTTCCCAAATGCAGTTTTTTCCCAGAAAAAAAAGAAAGATTTTTCGTTAACCTTTCGAGCATAACCTTTAAAATAACACAGGTTTACACACTCATTAGAGAATTATTCTCATTCGTGGGCTGTAGCTGTGTGCAACAGATCCATGGTACACACACAATTCAGACAAGCGCTAATTGTCGTGGGCTTAACCCACTGTGGACAAAGACGCCAGGAAATGCTAATGTACCCGATTTCCCTAAAGATATACTAGTACGCCCAGCCTATCATGACGATTACGGATTCAGAGGTGTGGCACGCAAGAGAAGCACTAGCAGCAGAGATGCCAACACATATTTGAAGCAATCTGTAGTTTCTGGCCATCAAATTAGTAGTTCGAGGGTCACGTAGTGACCCGAGTTTGCTAGGAGGGTCCGGCATGCCACCCCCCCTCCAAAAAAAAATTTTGATTCTGAGATGCAATTTCCTGCATTCTGAGAGTCAATAATGACAATAAATTGAAAAAAAAAAAATTTTTCTATCACAGTGAAATTCGTAGTTTGATACAAACTGGTCGTAGTGTAGATACAATAATGTAACCCGAACCCAAGCGGTAAGCCCCTATCCGCTTGGGTTTGGGTTACATTATTGTATCTAGTCGTAGTGGTGCAAAAGGAATAGAAATTCGTATAAAATACGGATAAATCGTAGTGGTTGGCATCTCTGTAGCAGTGTTTGTTATTAGCAAACACTGGCAGCTACATTAGTTAGGTAGCAGTGCACAGGCATACTGTAGCACAATCTCAACACAACAAATGGTAAACACGATCCATAATCATATCTCACTCACATCCGCAGCCATCGTACCCTGCACCCTGCACGTGTACGCTCCCTACGGCAATGCCACAGGTGCACTTCATTTATTATATCAAGAGCGTATACAAAAGGAGAGCGTACAACGGTGAAATGCCAAAACTATGTTGCAGTATTAGTCGAATTAATAAACTTTCCCCGTTTTATTTTGACGATTCTTTGTAGTATTATTGATCAGCTGTCCTACCTTGTTAATATAAAACAAACCACACATGTGCCTACGATGCCCCTACGCTGAGATAATGAGCGGTGAAAATATGGTATTTTCGCCGAAAACCGACTTGAGATACCTGCTGACTGCGACTGTCTCTCGCTTTGAGATAACTTCGGGAAACCTTGCGTGTTTCTATCAATGATTGACAAATGGAATGAATGACGTCTGTTATTGATTGCCATAGTGATGACCCCCACCTGTGCCCACCTCACGCTGGATGTAGTAAACTCTGTAGTACTGACGTAATGAGTCAGCGCTACCATGGCGCTACCATGGCGCTACACAGCGGCGACCGGAACCGATACACTGGCCACAAAGCGAGAGAGGGTCGCAGCAAACAGGGATCTCGAGTCGGTTTTCGGCAAAAATACCAGATTTTCACCGCTCATTATCTCAGCGTAGGGGCATCGTAGGGACAAGCGGTTTGTTTTATAATAGCAAAGTAGGACAGCTGATCAATAATACCGCAAAGAATCGTCAAAATAAAACGGGCAAAGTTTCTTAATTCGACTAATACTGCAACATGGTTTCAGCATTTCACCGTTGTATGCTCTCCTTCTTAATACGCTCTTGATTATATATATACAGGTCCATCCTTAAAAAATTCCATGTTTGCTGTCCCCCACCCATTATTTTTTTAGTGGGTAGGTAGGTAGGTCATTTTTTTGTGAGGCATAATAGTTATTTTAAGTCTGTCCTCATGTTTGCCACACATGCTTTGTGTTTCAGTCTTAACTATGAAAAATTTAAAAAATTAAAAAATAAAATAAAAATATGGAACACAAAATGTCAAAAAAACTTTTGGGTCGCGGCCATTTTCGTGGGTCGGTCAGAGGACAGCAAACATTATTTTTTAAGAATGGCCCAGGGTGCGAAATTAACGGGAGTCCAGAGTCAAATACTCCCTGATTACTGTCGGACTCCCTGATTTGACATATGCAGGAGTCCGTGTGACTACCTGAAAATTCTGTGATACTGACTAGTTCGTTCCGGAGCAATGCCTCGCGGAATTACCCTATTTTTTCAGCTACTGTCCCAAGAAAATTTGGCAGATGTGCAACTGCATGAATCTTAAAAATAAGCACATGCGTTATTGTTAATATCTTTAACAACGTTAATACCTCCCTCTTTTTGAGGGTAGGGAGTCCGTTGGCTGCCCGTGTTCAAAAGTTAATTTCTACCCCTGTATATATACACACACACACACATATATATTTTTTATTACCATTATATTTATTATCTAATATATATATATTAAATTAGCGTAATCACGTCGCGCTAGTGCAAACGGTAACAGTGGCGGCGTGCGCGGCACTTACTTTGCGGACAGCGTGTGGTGAGCGTTCTCCAGGAACGACAGTACGGCGTCGAGGCCCTTCTCCTGTGCAACTATGTTGTTGTCGACGACAAACTTCTTGAGCAGGCCGAGGTAGCGGCCGAACTCGGGCGCCTTGTCGTCCCGCGCCCGCGCGAACATCTGCATCGCCTCCTCATAGCCGGCGACCCTAGCCTTCCACACCTAAAGGTAGAGAAACAGACAGACGCCTTGAGTGCAGTACATGGCGCAAACACTGGCGGGGAAGAGCGGCGATTCATGCTGCGAGTGTGAAGAGCTCTGCGATTTTATCACTTTTGGTCAGGCTTGTTAACACGTTTCAATTTCTATTTCAGATTATATTTATAACAATTTGTAGCAATACCAAATAAAAAGAACATACATATGATATATACGAAAATCTAAAGGACATATCTAGAGAACGTATATGAAAATCGGAAAGACATATATACAAAAATCGAATTGACCTATACAAAAACCTAAGAACGTAAACATCACCGAGGTGATTTTAGCAAGAGCCCTATTAGTATTAACATGGCTCTACGCCACCTTGCAAATCCGAGATATACTCCAGCTATAATAACACTAAAATTCACATTTTAGATGCTGCAGATTTAAGTAAGAATTGTGTAAATAATTGTAATTCCATCATAGTTGACCGGACCCCCCAAATCTGGACCGATGACAGAGCTTAAATTCAACATGGCCTATTAGGCTATTACAGCCTACCTGCATGTAAAGTAATGCACACGTACACATATTCTGCATAAAATAATTGATCACCACCCTATTGATCTACCCTTGTTAAATTTTTAGCATACATGTATTATATCTGAATGCTTTCAGTTTGCACAGTGCACACAATGAAAGATGTACCACTGAGATATAGCCAATTTCATAATTGACCTGACACATCTTTCGTTTTCTATGAAACCCTCGATTTCCATGGTAACGACCAGTCCAGCATGTAAACATGTATAGATGCTGAGATTTCTGACCGAAAACATTAATACGAAGCCATGGCAATGAATTACACTGTCTGTTTTAACACACGCTAGCAACGGAGGCTGTTTGAATACCAAAACTCAGTCAGATACATGTGAGAAAAAATTCAAGTACAGCCAAAAATCTGGCTGCGTCGAATGAACGAACGAATACAGCGGGTTGTGCTGCTGCTGCGCGCTCCGCTCAGTCATCGTCGCTGAGCGTACATCATTAGCATCATACACCGCGTATGGGCACATGCATCGAATGCAGCGCAGCCAAATTTATACGCGGCTTCGTGCGACGATAACATGTGCGGCACTCAGCAGCAGCCTCCATAGCTTTAATAGCCTACGGCTGACATTTTGCAATCATAATGGACTAACGAACGAGCATTTTTATCACCCACGCATTAGCCAGGACATATTGGGACAGGCTACGGCCAGATTTTACAACAAAAGGCGCGAGTCAAACGTGATATTTTTTATAGGATGCAATTCTGTTGCGCAGAGAATAGATTAGCGCTGACGTTTTTTCATCCTACCTTGTGCAAGACCTTTTCCTCTGTTGGCAATTTTATCCATTCGTCATCCCCCATCCTGGACAAGGAAGGATTGTCACTTTCCCTTGTTCACAAACTCGCTTTCTTATTTAGGCTCCTGCAAATTACGAAAGACGACGTGATCACAAAAACAGTAGGAAATTGTAAAAAACACAGAACACTGGCCAATTATGTCGCCACAGACAATCACAGAGTTCAATAATTCACGATCTTGCTCCTGGCATTTCCGATGGAATACAGTAAAACACACATATATAGCAGTAATCCAAATTGGAACCGAACACATGTCGCACTGTTATCCGAGATGAACGCAAGATCACATCAAACAACAGAATACGGCAGCTGGAATCCAGCAACATCCAAACTCATGACACCACTATCCGTGATGAAATGCAAGAAAATAACACCGTCATCTGCTAACTAGATACCGGCCTACGCAATACGGCACACGCGACGTCAGAAATAAAACCAGAAACATATATATGGCAGAGAGATGAAAAAAACCACCCAAAATCCACCCGGACATAATATGACGCAGGGCTCGACAGCCAGATTTCCGCACGCGACAGATGCGCTGTAACCCATTTATTACATTACATGTACCCATGTACCCATTACATGCGTGCGGTGGTGCGTCAGCGTATACATGTGTGTCCCCCGCGACAACACAGCGAGAGCCCATAGCGCACGCACGCGCTCCCCGTATGGCAGCAGCCACAGGCACTTCACTTCAAAAACTGAAAATAATATGAACGCACATTCACAATTTCAAATACTTCCGTAGGCTCTACCTCTCAATTACAGTTCCACTGTTGTGTAACTGTATATCAACTTTCCTTATATTTATTATATTATTTATATATACATGTATATATAATTTATATATTATTATCATTATCATGGCGACACAGCACACTCGCGAGTGCGGGAGCGTTCGCTTCGGCGTTAGTTTTTATGAAGGAAAGTTGATATACAGTGACACAACAGTGGAACTGTAATTGAGAGGTAGGGCCTACTGTAGTATTTGTGAATGTGCGTTCATATTAATTTCAGTTTAACTTTTTACTGACTCTGTCCCAAGTGCCTGTGGCAGCAGCGGTGTGCGCCACACACGCGGTGTTGCCTCCCTCACCACACACACACACGCATACGCACGCACGCACGCACGCACGCACACACACACACACACACGCACGCACGCACG